TGACGGCCCTCCTCCCCTGGACAGAGCGAGACCTTCACTTTTACCTCTTTTCCCTCCCATTTTTTTCATCTCTTTGGCTTTTGGTTCCCACTTCTCTTTTGGAGATTTCAACTTGACTTCCACATCCTTCTGTGGAATTCCTTTTTGCTTTTGTTTTCTCTAGCCTGGGGCCCTGTAGTCTCTTCCTGGTGGCCACAAGCCCGATATGCTCATAAACTGCACGTACGTCCAGTGCGCGGCGCTGGGAGGATTTTGCTGGGGGTCCAAAGTAGAGTTCCGCTTCACCGTTTGGTGTCTCATCCTTCCCCTCCTCGTGCCTCTGTTCTGCAGCTTCCCTGAGTCAGTTTCTCTAGTGGAAAAACTCTGGTCTCTCATGGAGAAGGGATGGGGGATAACTGCTCAGGGTTGGGGGTATCGGGGCTCTGGGGGTCTAATGGCTTCTTTCTGCTGCCCTCCTCGTCCCTTCTGTCTGGGCCACCTGATGCCCCCTGAGTTCCTGCCATTTTCGGATGCTCCTTGTTGGCACCCCCCTCCCCACCCATGCAGGTGTGCGTTTGTTGTCACATTCTCTGCAGAGTCATCCGCTGTCCCTCCAACTGCTTTCCATTTCCTGAGCCAGTTCTCAGAAATATTCTCGCATCGTCTACTTGCTATTTTCTTTGCCTCCTTCTTTTTCTGAAGCTGATATGAATAAAGGTAGTGGCTCAATCCTTAACTTTTCTCATGTGTCCTCTCCTGCGGTCTATCTCAGGCCGAGTGCTGGGAGTGGACAAGGACTGACTGTGCAGGCACGTGAAGGAGGCAGAGTGAACTGAGTGAACAGATCTCGGTGACAGGTGCAGTGTGGGGTGAGACAGGTGTTGGGGACCGTGGCTCTCAGCTTCCTGAAGTAGAGATGGCAGGACCCACTGGCCAGGAGGGGCCACTTTGTTTTTTGGTGTTAAGTTGGAGGTGTCTGTGGGACATCCAAGCCCACATTTCTAGAAATCAGTTGGCTCCATGGTCAGTAGCTTGGGGAAGAGGGTTGGGCTGAAATCTTGGGAGAGCACGTGGTTAGGAAAGCATCCTCGCTAGGGCAGAAGTCTGGGAATCCCAGAATTTATGGGGGAACAGAGAGACGGGAACCTACAAAGGAGACAGATAGAAACAGGAAGGTGTTGGAGGATCCTGAGAGGGCAGCCAGGGGCCAGAGAGCAGACCAAGAGAAGGTCTGAGGGACTGAGGCACTGGTGCCTGTCGGTGAGCTGCTGGGAGCTGGGCAGCAGGTGGGCAGAAGCCAGGCTGAGCGGGCCGAGGAGGGGGGCACAGGGACGATGGAGATGCAAAGTGCACGCTTTTCCTTTGAGATGTTTCAGGAAGAAGTCAGCAGTGGGGAGGTCATTAGCGCTAAGGGCACATGGAGTGGAAGGAGGTTTTATTTTCCCAGTGGAAAAGGTTTCAGCCCCTTAATGGATGGGGGAGAGAAGAAAGAGCAGGGAGCTTTGGGATGCTGATGCTTTTGTCGTTCTTCTGGGTAGATTGCTGTGTCTCGGGCTGATACTAAACAAATTGCTTCCCTTCCACACGCAAGTGCTGAGGGTGCAGTGCTTGAGCGCTGACTTCTGCCTGGGCGCTGTTATGACTGACGCATTACCAGGCTGGAGTGAAGGCCCCAGACTCACGGGGTGTCTGGGAGAAGCTCATCTGGGTGCAAACACTCCCACAGGTGGTCCTCAGGTTGATGCCAGGAGTCATCACATGGGCCCTGGGGGATCCTTTTCTAGCACCTTCTGGACAGGCAGGGTCAGATGCTGGGCCTGTTAGCTCTCCGCAGAGCAGGTGTCCTGGGGGAGGCTGGCCGGGCTGGGGAAGAGAAGCTGGCCATCCTTCGAGCTCACACCCAGAACCGTAGACCCAGGCAGCTCCACCAGTCTGGTGGTGCACGTTCTGTCCCCGTCCCGGCGGGGCTAGAAGAGGGTTAACAGAGCGATGGAAAATCTACCAAAATAACTTGAGAGACCCAGTTCTTCTTTTTTGTTAAGAGTTCTCGGCATGGGCACCAGGCCTTCCCGTGACTGGCTTGTGGTGTGCAGTCTAAGGGTTTCCCTTTTCAGTCACGCTTCCTATCCCAGCCCAGATAAGCTCTGTGGCTGAAGCCATTGCCCTGTGTGTGTTCAGCCAGGGGTGGGGGCAGCCATGCCCCAGGTCGGCCCTGGACTGGGTGCCTCGGGGACCCCACACTTCCCAGACAGACTCAGGAGGGGTGGCTGGGGACCTCAGGGTGGGGCTGAGCCTCCCAGAGGCTAGCATGCCTTCACCCCCTGCCCCCCAACCTGCTTCCTCTCCTCCAGGCCCCTCCCGCCCCCACCTCCAAGTTTCAGGCTACTCGGTACACTTCTCCTTTGCAGAACCACCCAAGATATCCTGGATTCATCTGGAAAACGTGTGTGTGAATGTTCAAGGGGGAGGAGAGACCCAAGTGATTTCTATTTCCAGAGCTCTGCATGGAGTTTGCTGATCAGACTAGTTGGAATTGTATTTTCATGAAGTATTGTTAAAACAGGAAGTGGTTTTCCAAAATTGTTCCTCACGGACAGAAGGGGTGGTGGAAGTGGGGCTCGTGACTTCATGGAGCGGTGGGTCTTTGGAAAGCAAGAAACTCCAAAGTGCTGCCCTGCCTGGATCTCTGCAATGGTCCCTTGGAGTAGCCATATTTAGCCTAAGATGTTCCTGTGTTGTTGAGTTGGACATCAATTAATGGTCCACGGCAATAGTTGATCCAGAAATGACACCATGGCCTGGGGCGTTGATCTCCCACCCGGGGAAGTCTTCCTGTATGTACTGTCAAGACTTTCTTTCCGGGGGGGGCGGGTAGGATGGTCAAGCCTTGGCCTCATGGCATCTTTTGTCAACTAGTCCCTGGAACCAAAATAAGTTAAACTCCCCTCCTTTCAAGCACCAAGTATTGAAGCCTTCTGGTGGTTTCTAGAAGGCCAAATATTTCCAGAGCCTGGGCTGTCCTGAGCCGAGCTCTGCAAGCCTGTTCAGGGTCCCAGGTGGGCTCTCTGGAGACAATGGCTCTTCTCTGGGCCCCATGAAGCCCCCCAGCTCCCCCCACCCCCCACATCATGGCTCCGTGGCTGCAGATCAGAAGCAGTGGTCTCCCGACTTGCTCTGTGGGGTGAGGTACTAGATGAGGCTATAATGCTCAGAGAACCGACCCCCATCTTGGCCACCAGCGAGGTGCCTCCTTTCTCTGGGAGAAAATAGAACCCTCAGGGGATGCCTTGGAGGACCAGGCTGCCTTGTGCAGCCCCAGCAAGGAGGCATGCTCTTTTTAAGACAGAGAGCACTTACCCTAAGTGTTTTTGCTCTAGGTTTTCACTGCAACCTGAATGCACGTGGGCATATCTTTTCCAACTGTGCTTAGAAGCATTTTAAGGGCCTGTATCTACTTAGGACTGATGCTTTCCAGCAGGTCGGCACTTGGGACTCAGGGTGGGCAGCGAGCCTTCTCCCCTTTGCTTAGGCTCATATCCCGGTACCAAAAAAATCCCTGTCCTGGAATGTGGACTGACTGGACCCCTAGAGGGGGTGATGTAGCTCACAGGCGTGGACTGGGGCCGGGAGGGTGGGGGGATGCAAGGCTTTGGAGCCAAATAGCCCTCAGTCTCCCTGCAGGCTCCTTGAATAAGCCACATCGCCTCTCCTCTGAGTCCTCATCAGGGAAGTGGCGTCAACAGGAAATGGTCCTTTGCTGGATGATCAGGGGATTAAGGAAATGGGATCATAGCTGTAAAACCCCTAGCATGTGTCTCAGGCATAGTAGGTGCTTGATGACCGGTTAGGATATGTGTGCATGGTTTAACTTGGTTTTTTATCTTTTTTATTTTTATTTTTAACTTTTATTTTATTTTTTTAGAGGGGGAAGGGGCAGAGGGAGAGGGAGAGAGAGAATCTTAAGAAGCCTCCACACCCAGGATGGAGCCCAGTGTGGGACTCCATCTCGCGACCCCGAGATCATGACCTGAGCTAAAATCAGGAGTCGGACGCTTAACCGACTGCACCACGCAGGCGCCCCAAACTTGATTTTTTAAATTGTGGTAAAACACTCATAGCATAAATCTTACCACTTAACCATTTTTTAGGGCTCTCATTTTTACTGTTTTAATCATTTTAAAGTATACAGTTCAGCAGCATTATGTACGTTCACACTATCCAGTTCCAGAAATCTTTTTTTTTTTTTTAAGATTTTATTTATTTATCTGAGAGAGAGGGAATGAGAGAGAGAGAGCACATGAGAGTGGGGGAGGTCAGAGGGAGAAACAGACTCCCTGTTGAGCAGGGAGCCCGATGCGGGACTTGATCCTGGGACTCCAGGATCATGACCTGAGCCGAAGGCAATCTCTTAACCAACTGAGCCACCCAGGCGCCCCTAGTTCCAGAAATCTTTTATTGTCCTGCAGAGAAACCCCTTACCCATTTGCAGTCGCTCCCCCTTGCCCCCTTCCCCCAGCTCTGGGCCACCACTCAGTCTTCTGTCTCTGTGGATCTGCCTCTTTTGGATATTTCACGTGAATGGAACCGTGCAGTGTTTAGGGCCTGGCTTCTTTCCTCAGCACAACGTTTGCAAGGTTCCACCACGTTGTAGCGTGTGTCCATGCTTTGCTCCTTTTTATGACTGAACAATATTCCCTCGAGTCCTTCGTTCGGAGGCTTCACAGGATGGTCCTGAATGGTGCAGACTGTCATTCACTCTGGGCCGGGATTCTTTCTCTCTTCATTTCTAAATGGATAGTGTCGCAATTTCGTGACAGGAGCTGTGGCTACAGACATGTGGCAGGGGTGGGAGTAGGGGCTAGGCCCATCACGAGCCCTCCCAACACAGAGCGTAGCCCCGGGGCGGCAGCCAGAGCCCCCAGGGGCGACGGAGCTGCTTCTGGGTCTGGCTGGAGTAGAGAACTGGGCTCAGGCGGGAAGGGCTGGGCTCCCAGGTAACAGGCTCCCTGTGTCTCCTCCAGATGCAGGAAAAGGCAAAAGAGATCTACATGACCTTCCTGTCCAGTAAGGCCTCATCCCAAGTCAATGTCGAGGGGCAGTCCCGGCTCAATGAGAATATACTGGAAGAACCACACCCACTGATGTTCCAGAAACTCCAGGACCAGGTAACCTGACTTCCCTACCTGCCCCTGGATGTGACACCTATTCCCAGGCTGGAAGAATGTTAGACACCCCAGAAGCCGTCCCCTCTGGCTGGGCAAGTTGAGGCACACTGAAGGGCTGTGGCTGGTGAACGAGAGGGGACTGGAATGCCAGGCTCGGGATTTGATCTGTAGGAGGCTCCCTCAGGCCTGCCTACTTTTGGTCTACACACAGTTTGAACCAGCAGGGTTATCTGTCTTCTCAACCCAGATTAGAAGGGAGGCTGGAGCTATTCCAGGAGCCCACACTGAAGAAGCAACATGTAACTGCTGAAGGTAGGAACAGAGAGAAAATTCTAGAAAGCAAGCACAAGGACTCACAGTGGTAGGGAAACTGGGGCTGTTTTTGTGCAAATATCTAAACATGGCCACCCACTGCTGGTGGCCCAAGGCTGTAAGCTAGTTCATAGTGAGGCTCCTGAATTATAAGGAAAAGGTTAACATTTGGCACTTTATTCCACTTAACACAGGAAAAATTGAGTTTAAAAAATGGACCTATAAGGGGTAAATTAGTTTTCTGGCAAGCTTTTTTATGAGATATGCCAGTGGTAATAGGAAAAGGGACGAAACTGCACTCCAGAGATTTCTTAGACATGAATTTGCAGATGTGACTATTCAGAGTGCACTTATGAAATGTTATCTATACCCTCGTTGACAATGGAACACAGACCAATATCAAGCTTCTCCTGGCTCCATCCTTATCGAGGGAGCAAAAGCCTTCCTTGGCTCACAGGTGCGAATGAGTCTTTAGCTTCATTCAGCAGCCCTCGCAGGTGAGCAAGCGCAGACCCATCTGGAGGGCTTGTGCAAACAGACGCTAGGCCTCACCCCCAGAGTTAACCTTCAAATGTGATGGTTCCCAGGTGGCCTGAGACTTTGCCTCCCTAACAAGTTCCCAGGTGATGCGGATGCTTCAGGTCCTGGCACCACACTCAGGGAACTGGTACAGTGCCTCGGTTGGCCTTTTTTGGATCATCTGGAGTGGGCACAGAGCCCAGAGCCTGTCCCAGCATCCACGGTGCCCCATCTTTGCTCAGAGTGAGATTAGGAACAGTTATTCAGGTAGCAAATACAAAGATGGAAAGTAGTTCAAGAATGTTTTCCAGCTGACACGGTGGAAAGGGCAAACTCTATGTGAATTGAATCCTGAACCAAATTTAGGTGTTGAAGGAATTCCAGTGGCTGTGGGTGACTTGTTGAGGGCTTCCTGGAGGTGGTGGTTTTGAGCCAATGGGAAGGGTGCCATGGACATGGATTTGTGGCCGGAAAGGAAATAGAATGTATGGTGAAAATGCACTTCTTGTGTCCATAGCTGCATGAGGATATCTGCCCCACCTGGACCTCTGAGGCTTTTTTTTCTTTTAAAGATTTATTCATTTATTTTAGAGGGGGGGAGGGGCAGAAGGAGAGGGAGAAGCAGACTTCCCACCAAGCATGGAGCCCCACTTGGGGCTCGATCCCATGACCCATGAGATCATGACTTGAGCTGAAACCAAAGTCAGATGCCCAACCAACTGAGCCACCCAGGTGCCTCATGGACCTCGGAGTCTTTTAAAAGCTTCCCAGGGTACTTTAAAGTACAGCCAGTTGAGAACCTGGACTGAACCCCCTGTGTCCTAGATATTTTCAGTAAGAACAGTATTTAGTGTTCAGGGGTACCCTTCAGTGTCTGATGCCCACTTGGCGTGTACCATCTCATTAATCTCCAGCACGATTATTATTATTCCCATTTTGGTGATGCAAAAAGCAAGGTTCAGGGAGACTCGGTGGTTTGTTAGTACAAAGTCACAAACGGAGCAGGAAGTGCTAGAGACGAGATGTATTCTCGTCCACCTGCCTTCAAAGACCACACAGTCTCTGCCATGCTCACAGCCTGGGTTCATGGGGGCCCCTCATAGCTCCTCAAAGCCCCAGAAGACCAGCTGGAGCAGAGGGACTGGAAGGGCCAGGTGAATACCGGCAACCCCATTTTCCGGGACCGCGGAAGCCAAGGTAGTAGGGAGGAATGCAGTAGGCAGACGTCACTCCACTTGCCGGGACCTCGGGCTCCCAAGGACCCAGATGTCCTGCAGTTAGGCCTGAAGCATGTCCCCAGGTGGAGCTGGACCCCTGTGACTGGGCACACTCTCCTGGATGCATGGAAAGAAGGAAACCCACAAGGGACAGAGACCAATCTTTTTTTAAATGACAAAGAAAAAATATATTTTTTAAAGACTTTATTTATTCATGAGAGAAAGAGAGAGAGCATAAGCAGGGGTAGCGACAGAGGCAGAGGGAGAAGCAGGCTTCCCGCTGAGCAGGGAGCCCGATGCGGGGCTCGATCCCAGAACCCTGGGATCATGACCTGAGCCGAAGGCAGACGCTTAACCGACTGAGCCACCCAGGCGCCCCCAAAGAAAAATATTTTTTAAAATTACTTCTATTTACCTGACTATAAAAATCCTACATGCTTAACAAAAGAAGTTTGGGAAATCAAAATATAAAGATGAAAAAATTCATAATTCCATACCTGGAAAAAAACCACAGATAATACTTGATTTCTAGATTTTCCGTCCTTGTCGTTCCTGTAAGTACCCATGTGCCACAGTGCAGCTCAAAGTACTTAATGTGAAGAAAGCACTTGTGTGTATCCTGTTGCTAAAAATTCAGTTACTTGAGAGGGAGAAAGAGGCACTATCTTCCAAAGGTGCAACAGGGCGGAAACAAGGTATTTGGCATTGGAGCTGATTCCGCAGCGAGTGCCTGGGAAGGGCTTCTGCGTTCTGTTTCACTTCGGAAAACTCTGCCTCTCAAAAGCCTTGCTGGTAACCATCAAAATGTGCGCTCAGCATGGCCTGTAGTTCTCTGTGCCCCAGAGGGCCCCCTGGAGGGCCCTGTGTTTCTAAGTGCAGGAGTTTGAAGCCAAGAGGAGCATGTTTGGAACCACAGAGCTCACCTAACTCGAGCCCTGCCCCCCTCCGTGGGTCTGGCTGTGTTGAGCACCACTTGGCTCAGACAGAGCTGTCTGAGCACCTGCTTTGTGCTCCCCCCACACCCCGTTCACCAGGGAGACTTCAGGGAGCCTCAGCCCCTCCTCAGGAGTGTAGCCGGAGCCTAGAAAGGTGGGAAAATCCTCCATGAGCATTAAATTAGATGACCCCACAGTCACGCATCTGATTTAAAGGAGAGCTTCTTGGGTCTTCAAGTCCTGTTTATTCTTGGTTTACACACAGTTCGAGCGGCCTCGGCTTCCCAGGTCACGGCGGATTGGAGATGCTGGTAGAGGCCGGGCAGGGATGGGCAGCAAGAAGCGACAACTGACAGGCAGGGCAGAGACAGAAAAATGAAACTAAACTTCAAACCGCCCCCAGCACAGCGATATCTGGAGCCACCGAGTGTGGGGGCCCCCAGCCCCACACACCACCCCAGGGGCATCCCTGTGCCATGGGATGGCAACACCATTAGTGATCCTGATCCCCCAAACCATCAGGCTGAAATTGTGGTTGACGTGTTCTGCGAAGGATTGTGTTAGACATTTCGCTATCTTAAGAGAAGTTTGGGGGCTTAAAACTCCATCACTCTGAAAATTTATGGAAGTGGAGAGATCGTTCTCTGATTTAACTCAGTTCTGCAAGCGTGGCCTGGTTGTGTGCTCAGCACAAGGCTGGGAAGGCCCTGAGAGGCGGGGGTTGGACGGTAGCTGTTTCCTTGGAACCTTAGCCTAGAATCAAAGGACAAATTTAAGTTGTGGGAAGCAGGAAGGAGGAGGCGACCTTACAAAGAGTTGGTTTTTTGAATGAATTGCAATTTCCTGCAGTGTCTTTTTTTTTTCTTATAAAAATCCTCTGCTGGCAGGTCTATTTCAGTTCTGGTCGGTTGGCTGGTATTTGTTCTTTCATTCACTCCCTTATGCTACGATCTTGATGGAGAGCCTACTGTGTACCAGGGACCATGCTAGGAACTGTGTGTGCAGAGAAGAAATCAGCCCCCGTCCAACCATGAAGACAGAAAAAGATAAATGCTATGAAGTAAATGCAGCAGGTGGTGGGCTAAAAGTGACTGGGAGGGGCCTACTTTGGATCTCGTGGTCAAGGAGGGCTCCCTGAGGAGGTGACTGAGCCCTGAGTGGCAAGGGGAAGCCAGGTGAGAAGGGGGCAGGACCTGCCAGGGAGCAGCAACAGCAAGTGCAAAGGCCCTGGGGTGGGGATCTGCTAGGTGTGTTGGAGGAGGTCAGTATGGCTGGAGTATACAGTCAGTGAGGAAGATGGTAGAAACTAAGTCAGGAGGGACTGGCTGGGGTTAGGCCCTGAAGCTGTGGTAACCAGATGCCATCTGCAGACCTCCAGTGCCCTGATGTTAGAAAGTCGCTCCCTGCTAGTCACACCCCTATTTCCTTAGACCTGACGTTTCCCCCTTTCCTTTGACTTTAGAATTTAGTAGCTGTGAAACGTTGGGCAGGATGCAGTCCCTCTCTGTGCCTCAGCTTCCTCTTTGGTGAAATGGAGGTTATGATAAGACGCTTGGGAGGCGAAATGCAGGCGTATCTGTGGTGTGTTTACTCAGGGCCCTCCGTGAGTGTTACTGCGCGTGTCCTTTAGAATGTCACATGAAGATAAACTTTAACTTCATGCAGTTCTTAACCGGGGACCGTTTTGCCTCCCTCCCCAGGGGATCCTGCACAATGTCTGGAGAGACCTTTCTGGTTGTCACAACAGGGGTGGGGGCGCCACCGGCACCTCGTGGGTGGAGGCCAGGATGCTGGTAAATGTAATGCACGGGGCAGCCCCGCCCGACACAGAATTATCCGGCCCCAAGTGTCAACAGTGCTGAGATTGAGAAACCCCGGCTTCCAAAGCCATGCAGAGGGGCCGTGCCTTGCCCTCACCGAGCCTCGGGTTCCCACCTAGAAACAGCCAATAACGTGTAGCTTTCTGCACCGTCGTGACTTCGGGAAGACATTGGGGCTGAGCCTCCTCACTGCTCCCACAGTGCTT